TTTGGTACATACATTAAACATAATAGGACCTGATGCACGTCATTTTTTTTTTCGAATCAAGTTCGAAATGGCCGACTGGCAGCCATTTTGTTTTAAAGAATTCAGTTCTGGATCCGTATCCGAGACATGTCTGGATTGATCAAGTTCAAACTTCACACACACATGGTGCATCATGTCACAAATAGATATGTGCATTTGTTTCATGATCCGCTTAACAATAGCTGAATGATGGCCATTTTAAGACCGAAAATGCATTAAAATCACGTATTTTCACAATTCCGGAACCAGATCTCAGTCATGCATGGATGGATTTTGTTCAGATTTAGTACAATGTGTTGTACATATGCAGGTGCATTTCGGTCATGATCTGCTTTGAATGTATATGTCACTCAAATATGAACGGAACGGGGACGTGTCATTGACAATGACTTGTTGAATCTTTAGATGATGTTCATCATAATGGTTGAATTTATTTTTATCTGACAATCGTATCAGATTAGTTCAAGTACTTTACACATTACACGTTCAGTGAATGTACCTCCCTGTCAACCTATGAAATGCACAAAATTGAAAAATGTGTTATCTGTATCTATGTGTACATGTATATAACAGACATGTACATTTTATTGTTTGGGTCATGCTCTTTGTTGTGCTTTAATAATCTTGTGCCAGCGTATGTTTGATTGACTTGTAAATGACGTTAAATTTGTAAGAGATAGGTGTTGTTTGTATATAATTATGACGTACTTTGTTTTTGACAAGGGAATAAAGATCCTTCTTGCAACTAGGTGCTATACCTACAAATACTTTATTTCATATGTCATCCTCTTTGTATGAACATTTTTCTACATTTCATAATAATATATTTTGAACCAGGTGAAAACATGGATTGACATTGCATAGTCCTGGTGTGGTTTTAATAGGAGTTGATCTTGTTGTTCACTACAAGTCGCATATATACTGTAGAATACTTTATTTTCGCTTGGAATTTATTTTCGTTATTTTCGCTGCAGGGATGTTTTCGTGAAAATAAAATCCAGTAAATATACTTTTTTCCCTATATTTCACATTAAACTCATCAAAAATCAGTGAAAATAAATTCCACACAAAACACCCAAAAAGCCTTTTCAGCGAAAATTAATTCCAGCGAAAATAAAGTATTCCACAGTATATGAAAGACCTCCATACATCAGTATGTCAGTTTCAATGTAATATGACTGGAAGTGCATAGTCTGAGAAATAGTGGTGATGATAATCACACATAGAGACAGAGAAACTACTGTAGCTTGGATACCCTAAAAACAAATGATTGCCAGTCAGCTATTTTTGTTCAAATCTCAAATTTTGTAACCCAGTATGTAAGATCCTGATACAAAACGCTGTTCATCTGCAAGAAATGGTTCCTGACATATTTACAGACTGCCTCTTTAGAAATCTAAAAAAAATATGATGTTCTCCTGTAACCCAGTATGTAAGATCCTGATACAAAATGCTGTTCATCTGCAAGAAATGGTTCCTGACATATTTACAGACTGCCTCTTTAGAAATCTAAAAAAAATATGATGTTCTCCTGTAACCCAGTATGTATGACCCTGATACAAAACGCTGTTCATCTGCAAGAAATGGTTCCTGACACATTTACAGACTGCCTCTTTAGAAATCTAAAAAAATATGATGTTCTCCTGTAACCTAGTATGTAAGATCCTGATACAAAACGCTGTTCATCTGCAAGAAATGGTTCCTGACACATTTACAGACTGCCTCTTTAGAAATCTAAAAAAATATGATGTTCTCCTGTAACCCAGTATGTAAGATCCTGATACAAAACGCTGTTCATCTGCAAGAAATGGTTCCTGACACATTTACAGACTGTCTCTTTAGAAATCTAAAAAAATATGTTCTCCTGTAACCCAGTATGTATGACCCTGATACAAAACGCTGTTCATCTGCAAGAAATGGTTCCTGACACATTTACAGACTGCCTCTTTAGAAATCTAAAAAAAAATATGATGTTCTCCTGTAACCCAGTATGTAAGACCCTGATACAAAACGCTGTTCATCTGCAAGAAATGGTTCCTGACACATTTACAGACTGCCTCTTTAGAAATCTAAAAAAAATATGATGTTCTCCTGTAACCCAGTATGTATGATCCTGATACAAAACGCTGTTCATCTGCAAGAAATGGTTCCTGACACATTTACAGACTGCCTCTTTAGAAATCTAAAAAAAATATGATGTTCTCCTGTAACCCAGTATGTAAGATCCTGATACAAAACGCTGTTCATCTGCAAGAAATGGTTCCTGACACATTTACAGATTGCCTTTTCAGGATTTCAATAAATTTGATCAATTCCCAAAATAACACAACCTATAGTAACATACATACATGGCAGTGAATCAGCTAATGATAGAAGAAAACCTGCAAAGGCTTGGTAAAGGGCGTTACCAAATGGTTTCTATATATAGCTAATGATAGCATATTCTTTGAATCCAAATAAAACATGAGGGTAAATGTTTTATAAATTTTTTTATGAATTTGGATATAAAAAAAAACATTGATACCTTCATGAAATTCACTGTACTGTCTAGATTTTCCCTCACAAGTTACAATCATTCATGAACTTCTCAAAGCTAAGTCATTTTTTTATAACATAGACCTAAATAAATATTTATATAAATATTTTTAGCTCCGCTGTTGACAAAGTTGACACAGCAGAGTTGTTCATATTACTGATTGTCTGTCTTTGCCGTCGTCAACTTTTTCTTCGAAACCGCAAGTCAGAATGTTTTAAAATTTGATATGCAAGTATCTTGGATGGTTCTTCCTCAGATTTGTTCATTTCGTGATGATGTCTTTAATTCTCTAATTTTGGTGAATATTTTTGTAATTTTTGGTAAAAAGTGATATTTTCGAATTCTTGTTGAAAACAGCATGTTGCTTTAAATACTATATACTAGGATTGCTTTGATGCTATACATATTGTTCATTTTCTAGTGATATCTTCAGTTCTTATAATTCGGTCTCCGTCCGTCTGTGCGTTCGTCTGTGCGTCCGTGTGTCCGTCCAGAGTTGTATCTCAGAATCCCTTGGGTCGATCCCGTTAATTCTTTGCATGTGCCTAGTACTTTATGTGGGACATATGCACATGCAGTGGTTTAGTGATTCGATTCAAAATAGCCGACTGGCAGCCATTTTGTTTTTTGAAAATGTTGTATTTTGGACATGCTTTGTGAGTTTT